TATGTATCTATATATACATATACATATACATGTAGATATGACCAAAAGCAGCTGAAGAATAACAAAATGTATAGTAGTAGTAGTAGTAGTAGTAGTAGTAGTAGTAATAGCAATCATCATGACAGCAATACGGAGGATAGTTCCAGTTGCAATCGGAATAAACGTGCTAATACGAAAGTTATAAGAATGTAATGGTATCAATGATGATAATAATATTTGTTCTGATAGACTTAATTAGAATCACAACAGTCACAGTATCAATACTTATTATGATTGTTAATATTGTTGCGATTATCCTCAGCACTCTCATTATCATCCGTGTTCTTGTCATTACTGATGCTAGTTATCATGGCACACATGCGCGCGTGTGCGTACGATCTGCAGGCCATGTGGGGAGAGCCGAGTGCCCAACTCGCCCTGGCCACGGGAAATTGGCCATATGTGTTTGGCGTTGGGTTACCGGCATTGGGTTTGCGGAGGGTTCGAGTTAAAGCAGCAGATGTTGAATATAAATATGGCAACACAGTCACCTCTGAGTCGATCTCTTCGACGCAGCACGAGGTCCTCCTCCACAATGGGAAGTTGGCTTTGCGTTCGTCGAGTGACGAAGAGTTTAAGCAGCGCAAAGAGAAGGCGCTGCAGGGTGAGGGCAGTGTTGCCAGAGCTTCGGTCATTGAAGGTCATTGTGCTTCCTCCACCATGGCAGGAGAAGGAGGAGAAAGAAAAGAATGCTCAGGCATTTGCGGGGAGCATCGTTTGGAGCCGTGCAGTCTCGAAGATGCAACTCCGTGAGGACCAGACAACTCAAATTTCTAAATGAGCCACATACTCGTACAGCAGTGTAAGCAGCCAAGAGTATGGGCATGATGTTAATGCATCATTTCGAGTCGTCGATCTGTACCCACCTGCCCCGCCAAAAAGTATACCTTGCTTTCGAACGCATGCCAGGCTCAGAAGGACCGCCTAGCAAAAAAGAAGGCTGCCGCGAAGGCGGCCAAGCTCGGGCCCCTGTTCATCATATGTGAGTTTCCGGAAATTAGGGGTACCTTACCTTGGGGTCCTTATAATGAGGATCCTACTATTTAGGCCAGTATTTTTAAGGTCCCCTATTGTCGGAAAGTCGGCATGTCATGATGACTAGGGCATCATGGGTTGGGTTATTTATTGCAATGCTTAGGCAAAGTTAATAGCTGGTCTCAACCAATAGAGCATCTGCCCAGGCTCATCAAGAGAACAGGTGCAGCATACGACATGACCCTTATGTAGAAGTGGTCCCCAGCCGTGTGTTTGGGACTGAACGTGTGTGTCGCCTTGAAAACGCGTTGCTTATGACCTAACTGCAGGACCGAATGCAAGACCGTGTTAAAGCTAGCCCTGGCCCTAAACCCTAAACCTTTGCTTCCGGGAAGCCTGTCGCACCGAGGAAAAGCAAGTCTCGCCCAACAACGCCTGCTGAACCCGAGGAGAAGAAGGAAAAGAAGGCCAGGACTCCGGGACTAGGGGTCCGCAGCTTGTGGAAGAGAAGAGCCACCCGCAAGAAGTGTTACCCTTCGAGGTTTGTCCCGGGCTTTACGGTGTCTTGCAGTTGCTATAGAGCTTATGAAGACCTGATCATGCCCGTGACGCAGAAACCTACTAGCATCTTGATCCTCAGGAAGACGCGGCCGACAAAGATGCGGCCAAGACCGCGGAGGGTGAACCCGACTTTCGGACACTTCCCTCCGTCGGGACCTGGTTCACAGGACGGGCAGCAAGAGCGAGATGCAGCAACACAAACAAAGGTACCCTAAACCCGAAAACCCTAAGCCCTAAAACCCTAAAAGCCTAAAAGCCTAAACCCTAAAACCCTAAACCCCTAACCCTTAAACCCTAAAACCCTAAGCCCTAAACCCTAAACCCTAAAACCCTAAAGCCCTAAAACCCTAAGCCGTGGTTTTTCTGGACTTTTTTTCCAACAGCCTCGCCTGCTTCTCGCTACTTTGTACATGCGCACATATCATCCGTCTTTCAACATGTCCTCCCATGGGCCCCATAGTAGTTCCTTTTTGGGGTTCATATATAATAGAATCCTTTGAGGTAGCCCCGAAAAAGAACTACTATGGGGCCTATGGGTTTGTTAGAAGGAGCGAAGCATCCGGACCTTGGAGACAGGAGACATGTGCTGTAGTAGATTTTCTGATAGCTCAAAAGTCTGGCTGTTGCAGAACCTGAAAAGCTCTTAGACCCCAAGTGAGAAAAATGACCTCGCAAGTTAAAGACCGCACTGCACAAACTAAGCTCCACATGCATAACCGGCATAACCCATCCTAACCCTAGCTCAGGGTCGGCTTAGAGCCCTCTGCCGCTGGGCCCGCGGAACAGATTCATCCGCAGCTCATAACAGGGCTTTGGAGTTCAGTCGAAATCCTCCTGGAATTTTCTAAAATATGTCAATAGTCAGAAGTTTTTTGTTCAATATGTCAAGCCTCATGCAACAAATGACTTGCTTCGGACTGAAGCTAGAACCGCCTTGAAGCCTAGAGCGCGAAGACACACAGACACACCTAAACTGAAAGCCTATAATGTAGGGGCCTAAATAATTTATACTATATTGGGGGCTCCTTATTATAATCAGAGCATAATGGGCCCAAAAAAACCCTATTCTAGTTATTAAGGCCCCTAGTATAGAGCCTAAGGGCCCCAAAAATAATGGGCCCAAAAAAGCCCTATTCTAATTATCAAGGCCCCTACATTAAATCCGAAGGCCTTAGCTTGAATTCCGCTTCATGGCAGGACTTCATCCCGAGGAAGAGGGCAAGAAGGAGGAGGAGAAAGCAAAGGAAGGCGCGATAGGAAGAGTAAGCGTAAGAGGAGTAGCAGTAGCACTCGTAATTTCAGAGTTGTAAGTAATTTTAGAGTTGTAAGTAGTAAGGTGGAGAGAAAGAAGGTGAAAGTTACTCATGGCCTTGAGCTGAAGCACCGTCATGCTGGTAGTAACTTCCTGCCCCCCAGCATTCCTCGACCTTCCCGAGCAGAGAGGTGAGAAGCAGGAGGATGAAAAGGCGAATGAGGATGAGGCCGATATTGCGTTGAGTTTGGAAGGGTTTAGGGTTTAGGGTTCAGGGTTTAGGGTTTAGGGTTCAGGGTTTAGGGTTTAGGGTTCAGGGTTTAGGGTTTAGGGGACGGTTTAGGGTTTAGAGTTTGGGAGTTGGTGTTTCGGAGTCAAGGTTCAGAGTCTCAGGTGGGAGCAAAGTATCGCGGAAGGTCGCTCTGCATGGGGGTCCAGGGCCTTGAGTTTGTGTAGCTTCTAGCGGGAGTAGGGCTCGGCACTATCTTTAGGGTTTAGGGTTGAGGTTGGGGCGTTTGAGGTTTCAGGGTTTCTGTGCTTCCTCCTTCGCAAGACAGTGTAGGAATGTAAGAAATCAGATCTTTAGGTTCTGACCTCTTGTTCAGGGTTGTAGAGGTCTTCACGTTCCAGTCCTGTCACCACTTCAGGGTTGCAGTCCTAGGAATCAGGAATGAGCTGCAAGCTTCCAGCCTCATTGATCAGCTTAAACCCCCTCCTTGGCAAGCCCACAAACCCTAAGCCCTATACCCGAAACCCCTACACGCGACAGGAAATCTACAAGTCCTGGTGGCCTCCACCAGACTGCGAAACGGCGGCTGAGGCGCTGTTGAATGGAGCTGAACAGGACAGACAGCAGAAACTGTACAAGAGGCATTTCATGTTGTACAGAAGGCTTCTGCATACTGATACAACATATATAGATGCAGATACATGAGCTGATATGCATGTGTGTATATATATATATACACGCATGTGCATATATATATATATATGATATATGTGTGTGTGTGTACGTATATAAAAGTGTATGTGCGTACCGGGTTGTTTCTTTGCCGTTTATCGTACTACCCATTAGTAAACTCTTAAAAGCATGCATGCGCCAATATGTTGATACGTAAACAAAGGAATTGAATGAGCCAGAGACTTCCATATTTATCTTCGTTGTCACCAAGATCCAGAGAGCATCCCTTGTGACAGGTCGTGAAGCCTGGTCAGCATGCAGCTCAGCACTCCGAATCACTTGCAGTGCTTTGCTATGATATTGAGGTGGATGCTTGAGGTGATTGCTTTTCGCGGTCTGTCTGGTTGGAGATTAGGGTAAGAAATCATTCGTTGATCAGTTGATGAATGTGTTGCGGGTGCATGGCGTAATGAGACTATCGTATACTATAGGCCCTAAACCCAAAAACACTAAGCCGAAAACCTCACGATTCTGCGCAAAGTGTTGTCAAGTGCCTAAGTGTTATCAAGTGCCTGTCTTGTCTCAGAGCCTTGGTGGAACTGTTGAAGAGGAGATTGTGCTGAATTTGGGTTCAGGATTCTTTTGGTTTGGCGTTTGTGACAGATTCTGGCTAACGAAGGGATTTTTGATGACAACAAACAAGTTCAACCCTGCTTTCGTTTCGGCTACATCCACGCAGCCTAAACTATAGAAGCAGTGCAGGTGGAATCTGCTCACGCTTGTCGTTCGGTGGGGGCCTTAGCAAGCGCCACGCGATCTCAGACATTCCGACGGATGCTGTTCGGAAGCTCGCCAGACTCTTCTGGTTCGCATCCTCGCAGAACGTTTCGCCGAATATAATGTAGGTGCCTAACTAATTACCAATACTATTTCGGGGGGTCCCTTATTATAACTATAGTCTAGCGGGCCCCAAAACCCTATTCTAACAATTAAGGCCCCTAGATGAGGCTAAGTAGCGGGCAAGGTTTCGGGCCTGAGGACGAAGAGCGCAGAGCGCAATATTATAAGCCCCAAAAAAGGAACTACCATGGGGCCTATGGGTATAGTCGAAAGCAGCTTCCTTTTGCGATTCGACTGAGGGAACCTACCGCTGGTGCACTGATGTTCTTAGTGACAGAAACGGAGGTCATTCTAGGCGAGCGCAACTTAGGAACTTGTGTGAACACGACCACTTCGAAACCAAGGTGCGGATCATCCTCCCAGCCCGAGCACCGATTCGCCAAAGCTTACCTCAATGGCGAGGCCTCGAGTTGAGTGGGATACCGACGAGGGGCCCATGGGTAGGGTAGGAGCTTAGATCGGTTCAGTCGGCAGTCTGCGCAACTGCTTGGGAGTAGTAAGGTGTCTTGGAACGATTCGTCATGCATGCGGCTATGCGCTAAGAAAGTGTGATGGTTGTTGAAGCATGGCAAAAGTGTGACAGGTTTTGCAAGATCTGTTGAGGCAGCTAAATCTGCATACAACATATGACATCGAGACGGGGTGGTGGGTCTAAGCTGCGACTGGACATGACAGCTCATAAGCAGCTGTCAACAAAGTGGAACAGTTCTCGCCGAAAATACTCCAGAGGCAGGCAGCAAGAAAATTTGATGGACGTCCTTCACTCCTGTCAAAGTTGCAGGTCTAAAGAAAATCGCAGTGGTGGCATTCACCAAAAAGCCCGGAAGTTTCACACAGATCAAAACGCAGGCCCCCAAACCCTACACGTCCCAAGCTCTAAAGCCCTCGAACCCCCAAAACCCGAAGCCTAGAAGCCTCAAGCCTTAACCCTTTCGAAGCTCTTTCGGGACCTTGTAGAGCCCCTGCAATGGAACCATGTGGAACCGTATGGAGCCCTCAAAAAATCTCAGTCGGCAAGGTGGCGTTCCATGCCAAGAGCCATGCCGCCCTCGAGGAGTCCATCTTTGTGGTAGATCTCGGGTCGAGCTCGTAGGACAAGTGCTTAGGAGGGGTCAGGGTTGAGGATCGGGGTTAGGGTGTAATATAAGAGCCTCAATAATTAAGTACGAATGCTCTTTTAATGAGGCTCCTTATTATGATTATGAGGCTTCAGAGAGCCGGTCTACTGTTGAAGGAGGCCTTGGCCATTGATGCTTCCGGCGGCTTTAGACTGCTGCCGCCGCTGCAGACTGAGCATCTCAAGCTGTGCGAGCATGCCCAATTCCTATTTGTGTTTGAGGGAGGGAGGGTTTCACCTCGATGTTCGACCTGCCGCAAAATCTTTGGTGCGCCTCCGAAAGGCTTGCAGCCCGAGCCATGGCTAAGATTCTCTATCAGTTCGAACAAGTGGGAAGAGGGAAGAACATCGACTCGCACACCTGGCAGACGAGATAGGAAGCCCGCAAACATCAGGGGTACTTGATTATGGAGTCCCCCCCCATCCGCCCCGTCCCCCACATCCAAACTCCTCAACTCTAAACCCTAAGCCCTTTAGCCCAAAACCTGAACCCTAAACCCCTACAGCCTAAACCCTAACACAACGTCATTGCGGATCTCAGGTCGGCCAGCTCTTCCGCTATGCCCGGTGGCCAGCTGCGAACTATGGACCCGCATGCCGTAAATCAGGCATAGATTGCACAGCCCTATTGTGTCATCATATACATATATATATATATATATGTATGTATGTATGTGTATATATACACCACACATACCTATATGTGTGTTTTCATGTCCGTAGTTATGCTTTCGGGTTGCACCGTCGTGGTTCTTGTTATCCTGAATATTTTTCGCTGTCTTTGTTCGCGCCATCGCGTTTATGTAATGACTGTGTTTGTTCAGTTCCCAAGTAGCATTACTGTTTGGGTTTTGGCTTTATCATCCCCACCCTTATCAGCATCATCACTCTTGCCCAACAGCAATATTCAATACTGTCATTCTTTCGTTCGTATGGTTTTGCACGATGAGTCTACCCTAGAATCCTGTGAACCATTACAATACTGTCATACCCATGATGCACCGCATACTCGTGGTTGCTACGGAGCGCTGCTGCGCAGCAGTTGCAGGTTAGTGGATAGTTTGCTAGATGCCACTCTTCCACACGTGTTGTGTTTGTGCGCGCATGTATGAGTATTTACAGAGTCTGCCGCATATCGATGATTAATAAGCGCAGACGCAGAGACACGAATGCAGTCAAATATCTATCTATCGCAATACATAGATACATGTAAATAATAATAATAATAGTAATACGTATATATATATATATATAGAGAGAGAGATGTATATATAGAGAGAGAGGACCAAATGTGTGTGTGCGTTTGTCTGCACATTATGTATGTATGTATGTATGTATGTATGTATGTATGTATGTATGTAGGTATGTATGTATGTATGTATGTATGTATGTATGTATGTGTGCATGTGTGTACATATGTATGTGTGTGTATGCATGTGTATATATATATATATACGTGTATATGTATGT